ATGAGAGATCTCCTTAATTAATAAGAAGCAAAAATGATACCAAACTATCCTATTATCGAGAACTAAAAACCCAGTGGTTTGGTGAGACGCATACTCTCTCTGTTTGTGCCAACTTGCGGTTGGCAGCAGTTGGGAGTAACGAAAAGAAGAACAAAAGAGAAAAAGAAGAGAAGGGAATTCGAAGTGAATACGACCCCATCGCAGTCTTCGCAATTCCCGGTTAATTCGTTCGGAAGAAAAGTCGTAGCAACACCTTGCACTATTGCCAGTCATTCTCTAGGTACGCGGTAGTTACCAAACTGCGAAAAGGACGACGGTAGAGGAGGGAACGGAGTTGGAGGATAGCGCAGGAGACAGAGGATAAAGCAGGCGAGGGACCGCCGAACTAATCAGACTCGACCAATCCGAGTCGTTTCCCCTCGGAGAAGAGAGATGCTTCCTCCCGGTGGACAGGATAATTTAAACTTTCCCGCAAGCGCGGGAGAGTCGCGATGATGCGGCGCCGTCGTTTATGTATCTCGGTCACTCCGTTAAAACAGAATTGGATACGAACGTTAGATTCAAACGTTACGTTAACCATCGTGAAAATGGGCAACCCAAAACCTCCCAGGTATACATAACACACGAACACGAAACGAGTCGGAAATCCTTCGCGGGAATAGAGACAATTGAAACGTTATTAAAGCAATGATATTCGAGTGAAGAGATTTAAGCTTCCTCGGTGAAATGCAATGTTACATTAATTTTTCGAGAGCTTCATCAAATTTCTTTCCTTTACATAAAGTTAAATTTGTGGAAATTATCCTAAAAACTTTGACAACCAAAAAATTTGTGTTAAAACTTTGCGCTAACTATTTGAATTAAATATTTTCGACGAGTCGTGAGAGTCATTATAATGATATGACGAAACAAAATTATGAGAGATGAAAACACGTTAAAATTTTTAATAGCATGTAAATTATATGAAAAAGAGAGAAGCATGAAACTGGAAAAATTTAAAGAGAATTCAATCCTTATATCCTCAAATATGTCAGAGAACGCCTAATCGATAGTGAGAGAAACGCAGATAAGAGGGCGATGAAAAATGATGGAACTGTTTTCTATGTATCGTCACCCGCGACAGAATAATCTAAACTTTCGCAAAGCGCGAATATCATTCCATATGAATTACGATGAGAATAAATTATGAATATATGCAAAATTCCAAATGGAGCGAGTTAACCTGAGGTTGTAGAAAAAATGACCGATAAAATAAATATTTTTTATTAGGGTAAAAAGTTTAAAATTTTTATAAAAATGAAAATTAAACGACTCGGTCCATTTGGAAACTTACATATTCTGCGCGTCATAAAGTTTATTTTAAGCCAAAATTGTCCAATCTTGAGTTGGGAAAATTTTTGGGCAACAGGCTTATGGGCATTTGTCCGCAATCATCTTTAACGCTATTTTTTGAATTTGCTAAAATTGCTCGTAAAGTTTATAGCTGAAAATTCTAATATTATTTTCTGGTAAGATAGATATGAGTTTTTATATTACAATTAGAGTGATTTTTGTGAAAAAGATTTTTTTTGTATCACAGCCAAACTTTAACTTATAACAAGCATGATTAGTACCATAGAAATTTTACTAATAGATCAGATCACTTATCAGAGAAATTTTGTTATTTAAATTAGAAACAAAATATGCGAAATTACAGTATATTTGCTATTATACCTCAGTTAATTTTTCACATTTAGAAAATGTTGTTACCATTTTTTTTAATAATAATCAAGCACGAGAGGAAAGTCATAAATTTAATAGTACTTTAATTAATAATGTGCTGCTAAAATGTACACTGAATTAAAGCTAATATCAATTTATTATTAAATACTTTTAGTTAGTCAAAAAATAAAAAATTTTAGTTAAGCAAAAAAATGGAAATGTTTATTAATCTTTTGCTTCTCTCAGAGATAAAAAATTTCAATCATTATCGTTCTAAACAATTGCTTGAATAATGGACTTTGTGATAAACTAGATAAATAAATTTTTAATATGTGCATCCTTTTATAAGGTAAAAGAACGATATTTTAGCTTAAAATGACGACGTGGTAAAACGGCGTAATTACCTTCCCGGTTGTTGCGAGAGATTAATATGTAAATAAGTAATTGTGCGTGCTTTAAAAGGCATTTCGTTTTTTATGTGTACTTTCTGCGCACTGTATGGAGTATTGAATGTTCAGTTAAGCCAATTCCGATTCGGTCGCGAATTGTGAAGGGCGTCGCGACCGCGTGAACGAACGTGCTACAGTGAAACGCTTCAGAAACGAACTAAAAATTCAGCGATGTCGTTGCAGGAGAAACGGACGCAATTTAATTCTCTGCGGAGAAAGAGGCTGGAGAAAGGAAGAGCGACGAGCGATTTATTCTTGAAGGGTGACGGGGAAGGATACGGTGTGTTCCCTTTGATGAGAACATCCGTACGAGCCGTTGGCGTAAAAAGGACATCTTCCTTCTCGTCGGTATTCCCGTCCGCGCCTATGCTGCTAACGGAATATATTACTTTCTAACGAGTCGCTGCGGAGGCTAGGAGAAACGTCCTTGGCTCCGCATGCGTCGGATAAATAGGGAATTTTCAGTACGTAAATCCCCATTCGAGAAATCGACAGAATAGAGTTATTGACGCGCGATCGATGGCTACGAATCGGTTCAAACGATTTCAATTTGAATAATCGTCACGTGCTACATTACTTACATATACGTATAAGAGACGTCAAGTTTATTAATATTTATATTAATGCATCTACAATACCAATATCTATCGCAAATATATTGTAAACGCAGCTGCTTGAAACGGTATAATAATCTAAATTTATATTTATTTATATTTAACGGTATAATAATAATCTAAATTTATTATCTCTAAAGTAAAAGATTAATAAGTTTGGCATTTTTAAAGTAAATTGTAATTTTTTGCAATTTTCTTGCAATTAACTAAAAATACCTGGTGTAGTTCATATATAAATTTAGTGTATTTTTAGCAACGTATAAAATAAAAACATGTAGCAAAAGATGCCAATATTACGATCTCTATGATAAAATTCCAAAAATTCCACATTTTTATTTATTTTATTTTATTTATTTTTTTTATGTCAAAGCAGCTTTCGAATATGCAACTAATATACATATGTTAAAAGATTTAAGAACACCAAGTAATGTAATAAAATAATAATTAACAAAATTTTTTTCTTGAACATATTTTTTGAATATTTTTTTTAACATATTTAAGCTAAATACACTTTGAGCGATTATAATTGGAATTTGAAAAAAATTAATTTTGAAAATTTCAGTTAAGAAAAATTAATTTATCACATTAATAATATCATAATTCATAATTAATCTGTTTTCATAAATATGATAATTTATTAGAAAATATTTATTTAAAGTTCACACACACACACACACACACACACACACACACACACATGTAAACACACATATAAACTAGAATTTTCTTGTAAAGAAGAAATATTCTAACAAAAATATTGTGAAAAACATCAGAAAATGATGGATTTTTTATATCACATTTTATTCCACAATCAATAAAAAGAAAAATCGACAACTCGATTAATAACAATCCAAATTAGGATTGGATAGGGCATGTGTTTACACGGGTGCAGGCAAAAACTCAATTGTTTTTGTGAAAGAATAATGTCCCGAGCTCGAATAAAAACTGAAAAGCCAACGGAAATAATTCCGTGTGTCGCAGTCGTGTATTTTTTAGCGGCTGAACGCGACATGGCCGAAAGTCGGAAAAATTGGCGCGTTTTAGCAAGAGGGGAGAAGGATAGCTCGTTCCCCCAGCTGCGCGTTGCGAACGTGCGCGCGAAAAGCCGCGCTAACGCTTCAATTTTCTTCTATGAACCTCTGACCGACCGTAAAACGCGAGCGGCCGTTTGTACGCGGGGGACGTAATGTACCGATAAAGCACTCGCAGGGCTTGTCGCAAAATCTGTAACATTTTCTCGTCGGACGTGCCATTTCGTGCCGCGATCGCACAGTCGAACAGTTTTTAGAGCCGGGCTCATGCGGAATTACGGCGTACGTATAACGCCAAATACCGCAACCATACCGTAATCTCAGTGTGTGCAATTTGTACAACTGCCATCCGATTGCCAAATGCGCCGCGAATTCCGTCTCTGTGTCCGATCGAAAATACATGCATTATACCGCGATGGAGAGAAGAGAAGCGCGCTAAATTTAACTGTACCATATAATTGCGCTTTAATGTCTTTATTTTGGTACGATTTGCGTATATCAGTTAATGAAACGAGATGTACCATCCGTTTGTTCCCATGTCCACCTGGATCCGCAAAACGTTCCCGTTAATCGGGAGGCTTATGCTAATTACGCTAATGAACGCAGGAAATGTAGTACAAACGGTCAAGGGTATTAACACTCGCATTTGATTTGGATGCGAATAAAATTTTCAAATGTCTATAAAGCTAAATCGATTTCGGTATATCTGTATTCTTTATCGCACGCCGGGATTACATACGCTCGGTGTAACACGTTTCGGGCGCAATGTAAATCACGCGGTTGCGTGCTCGAAATCGATGGCACGGTAATCGTGTCGAATAATAAACATTATGATAATAATTGCGATAATATTATTTTATGTTAATACAGTGATAATAAATGTAATTAATATTGCAATATAAACATAATCCATATAACGCAATTAAATATAAGCATTCTTGGCATGTACCAACGAAATATAATATAATGTAATATTATATTATCTCATTATCCATTTTCAAAAATTCAGTTTTGACATTTTTTTCCAGTTTTTCGTTTAACAAAATTTAATTACGCTTGAAAATTACTGCATCGATAGTATGAAACGAGATAATTACTCAAAATAAACTTTATATTGCTAATTTTTTTCAGAGAAGAATGTGTGTGAATATCCCTCTTGCTTTTATTATAATAATTTTTTCTTTTAATGAAGAATCCTTACTCACCTCCTCTCGGAGAATCCGTAGGTCCAGGCCGTTGTCTTAAACCTGTAACAAGAAAAATAAAGAATTGTTTTAAGTCGATTATGCATTAAGCAGAAAAAAATATCATTCATTGCGCAATATATATTTTTTGACAAAAATGGTTAAAAAATTGTATATAATAGAATTTAGTACATTTTTTTTACTTTGGACATAATCAGTGATGTTGCCAATTGTGAAAATACAATTACGACTATTTATCTAATTTTCTACAAATATACACTTGCATTACGAAACAAGATTGAAAAAGGTTCAATGAAACATTCAGAAATAAATTTATTTACGACAAGGCAAAACATTTTAGTTGGCCAATAGTAAACATGGTATGTACTGTGGTTTTACTTTGTAAATGTTCGTCATTAATTCCGTACTCAGATAAAATCAAATATTTATTTTTTATGTTGCAATTCACGCGCGCGCATATGTAAAATACGGTAACATAAATAACTTGTTCTACTTTCGTACTCTTTATTTGAAATACATAAACCCATATTTTTGAATTGCTAAATTGATTGTTGAAACCTCAATGTTTTAGATGAAAATATTAATTTTGATATCAATTTACTATATACATTATTTTATACTTTTTGTTTTTCATTGGTATATTTATTAAGAGAAATTCTGTATAATGATTTTTGAAATAACTAAAATATGACATTTCATTGATCATAAGTAATAGTAATCGTAACATTATTTCATAATGTCAATCATGAAATGTCAGTGTATTTTTAATTAAAGTAAATGGAATAATTATATTTGTGTTTAAGATCGATGCATCGCAATCTCGATATTTTCTATCATTGTTGCTGGCTAAAACTACTAAACCAATTGGTCGGGGCCAACGCGAAGGTGCAATCTAAACTTTCGAATTCTACGAGTTGCAGCCCTTGATGCCTTCGTGTAATCCTTGCAGTAGCATTCTCACGGTCCTTTCCTAAATGCGTGCGCAACTAAATTAATTTACGAATTATTCGAAAATTACTATACAAAGATCAACAATTTACTGCTACATAAAATGTAAACTAGATAAGCGACTTATTATAAACGATATTTCATATTTAATAATTTTAGAAAGTTTCTACTAACAATAAGATCATATGGAGATATGACGAGAACCATATTTTCTGTTATTTCATAAAATGTATATTAATTGAAAAAATTCTTGAAAAAACTAAAACTATTTTACGCAATCTTCTCTCGTCGAAAATATCTAAAACTTAAATTGTATTAATTCTTATAAATAGAAACTTTTTCCATTTCTCTAACTTTGGAGCAAAGTGTGGCGATAACTTTTCTATCTATCCCTTCTCTTCAACATTGGTAACCTGACGAGTCATTCGTGAAAAACATTGCCCAAGGGAGCATCGATAAGTAGCAGGTTGATTTACAGATTTACACTTCCATATTCCTCAGAGATCAGTCGCATATATTCCTCCAAAATGCTTCATGCGAATTCTTTTTAAAGAGAGACAAAATTTTGCGCGCGTTTCGCTTCCTGCTCTTTACTTGAGTGCAAGAATGAAATGATACTTGCAATCCTATCAACACGTGTAAGTTTACATGTGTATTCTCTTTTATATCGTATACTTGGCTTTGAATTTTTTTAACTCTTTTGCCTGTTATAATGAACATGGCAAATTAAATTTTAGTTATCTGATATTGTTGCTCTAATCGAGAAACGAATTATTTAACAAAGAAACATTTCAATCTGAGAAATACCACACAATTTAAAATAGAGATGTAATATTTAAAAAAATTGGGCTTTCCAGTTTTACGCATTTAATCAAATTCTAATTTTAAAATTTAAATTATTAAAAATTTTAACAGTTTTAGTCATTTAATAGTTTTATTCATTTTAAGAGAAAAAGATCCTTTCGATTACAAAAACACGCATTTTTAATTATATTTAAAAAGGAAAAGGAAATTTTTAAAACATAATGCAATATGTAATATATATAGTCTCTTGTAAATTTGGCAATCAATTAAAATAATAATCATGCATTTAAGCTAATATGATACAAAATTTTCTAACAGAGAATGGACTTTTGTAGATGCAAATATCTACGCAATATATCCGCAATGAAACTGTTGAAACAAAGTTTGATAACGCGACTCAATTAATTTTAATTTAAACTGGATGTAGTCATGTAGTCCGCTTTAATATTCGTGCTGCGCATTCCGGCGATATAACCAGCGAAAGGAAACCTTCCAATGCTTTAGTGCACCTCAGTCACTTGGGATTAAATGTTTACACGCTTCTCTCTGGATAATTCATCCTAGATAATCACATGCAATGAAGGAAAGCAAAGATTGGTTTTGTTTCTGCGAAACACTATTTACACCGCCATTTTCCACTTGTTAAAAACAAGCGATATTTCTTATTTAATTTAATCAATTCGTATTATGTCTTGCATATTCTTTTGTATATTATAAATAATAAAAAAAGGAACTGCAGCGATTAAACATTTTTTAATTGAGATAGAAATTGCGATTTAAAAAAATGTGAAATTACGAGTTTATAAGATTGAGCTTTTTTGTTTTGTTTTTATTTTGGATAATTTCGATTTTACATATTTCGATTTTCACAGATAGTCATGAAAATCGAAATATGTAAATTAACCTGGGAGACACAACCGATTCACTTTATCTGCTTTTGAGCTCGACATTAACGGTACAGCCGGTTCGAATCACCGAATTATAAATCCGACATACGAGTATCGGGATAAAGACAAGGAATCCCTAACGCGAAAAGCGAAGGTAGTAAAAGCAAGCGGAAGGAGGAGAAACGGGAAAAACGAAACGAATGTATTTCAATCTCGCCGCTTTTCAACCGTGCCGCCAGAGTTTCGGGAAACTTTCGCTACTCGGCTCTAGTCCAGCTGACTGAGTTTTTCGAAGCTGGCTACGATAGTTCAGCGAGTATGCACGATGCTTCTGCTTCAAGCTTCTGCTTCCTGATCGATAAGCTTCTTTCGCTTCGAAACGGAGAACTTGAAAAAGGGCAATATTTGGCTTTAACGAAGCGACTTTTGAAACAAACGACACTGTCATCTTAAAGACAGCGGAAACTTTACACATTTCGCAGTCACTTTGCGAGAAATACAATCCTCATTGAATTGTAATTTTTCTAGTAAGATTGTTGTTTCAAGAAATAACGTTTCGAGTTGGGAAATAGATGATCTATTTTCTTAATATTAATTTAATTTATTTTTGATTAAAAATTAATTCGTTTTCTTAGAAAAGTTAATAATGGTGTCAAATCCGCTATAAATCGCTAAGCATCGACATACGTGTTATATTTGTATCTCATCGAAAATTTACGGAATGAAATAAGTTTATTTTCAGCATAGGATCTCATAAATATATTAACGGATTCTAAATTGAAACATTTGTTTACAATATCTCGTTATTACGAGATTATTAAATATTGAAATGCTGTATCCAATTATCAATAATCTTTAGCTGAAAAAAAGTTGAATGAACGTTGTATGAGGAGATATTAGAAAAAATACTGGGGAAGTGTATTACAATTATTTTGTAACACAATATTCGTATTAGAATTATTACTTGTATTTATAGTTAATGCAGTGCAACTAAGATTGTATCAATGAACGCATTATAACGAGATGTATAAATATCAAAGAAATAGGAAAAAAAGAATGTCATAACAATACATTACATGTAAAATAAGCGGATTGTGAGTAATGTGATAAATTTTATTTGTAGTGAAATAATATACGATTGCGAAAAATTTTTGCTTTTGCATAACAGTAACTGCCATCTTTTAAAAATATAACTTCACGATAAATAACTTCACAATTATAACTTTACAATTTAATAATAATTACTGGCAACAATTTATTATCATCAATAACAATAATTTGACGTATAGAGTTATGTCAATTATTATTCCCGCTACTACTTCGGCTGCGTTTCACTTAATAATTTCCTATAGGATTGCTTAGAACAAATCCTATTGGTGAATCATTTTGCTTCTTAGATTCACTCACAGCCAATGAGAGGACGTATAGGTGAAATAATATTATCTTTTCGCTTTTTATTTATAAAACAAATTATAAAACAAATAACGATAATTATATGCTTAAAACCTTCCTTGATTAATAAGAAATTGATGTGCAAAAGATATCGAACTACGTTATAGTTATTAAGAATACCCGTTACAGTCAATCCGAGCTCGGTGAAACGCATACTCCCTCCGTCTTTTTGCCAACCATAGGTTAGCAACAGTCGGGAGTAAAAAAAATGAAGAAAAGCATCTTCTTATAAAATTGTAAGAGCCACTGAATATGGTGTTCGATTCAACTTCTTATGTCATTTACTCTTTTTCTACCTACAGTACAGCGTGAAACAATCCGCGAAAGATATCGTTCTCCGATCATACTCGACTCTCTCTCCCCCGCATATCGCGCACCTGCTGGTACAATCGATTCTAAAACAATCGAGAGCCCGAAGTTTCGCTTCTGTAAATCCGAACCGGAAACGAAAGAACGTACCGGCGATGATGAATCGATCGCCGTTTCTGCGATTTACGACGTAGAGCTAGAACCGACCGATCGCTCGAGACTCCAACTCGTTCGAGAACGTACGTACGTACGTTCGAACGCTGATCGATCATCGCGAAGGTAACAACGGGGAGAAACGCGGCGGTTATATCCGTGGAAAAAGATCACGCGAGATCTGCGAAAAAACGGTGAAAAATGTCCTCATCGAGAGAAACGACGACTACGACGACGACGAAAACGTGGACGACAGCCGATGGCGGCCATCCATAGAGGTAAGCTCGCCTGCTACCGACATGTAGCACGTACATTCAAACGACAATATGTATCGTGCGTATGTATGAGTGAGGTTGTAAGTTCTACGGACGAGAGAAGTGAGGAAAGATAAGGGAAACGTGGGTAGACTCGCGTTGCTCGTAGCACCGATAAGAGATCGCATCCAACTTAAACCCCGCTTTTACACCCCCCGGTGGCAGCCACCCTCGC